AATATTTTCCGTGAAAATACGTACGCAAATTACCAACCTGTTTTCATATACATACAATTCTATCGAAATGTCTTACTGCTAGAAAACCTCACCATTTTGTCATACTTTTAAAAAAAAATCTCCAAGAATCAAACAAAAATATCGATCGATGATAAAAATTATTTTCAAGAATACATCTACTTATAATATCAAATAATGGTGAAGATGATCCATCATACCTGAGTTATGGTCGTCATCTTCAACTAAACATGGGCGGAATCGGATTTGGCAAAGAATGACCCTCTTCTGTGAACCCTAACAACACTACTGTAATCAACGTGTAAAACTATCGCACCAAAAGAACATCACAGTTTAGAATTAAACCTCCGTCTCCTTATCTGTTTCTCTCTTGCACCTGGGATTTGGGTTCAGATCGTCTTCTCATTACTCTCGCGCGAAAAAATCAAATACACAAAAAATTGCAAACAAAATTGATTCTAGTTTCAAATAAGGGCAATATGGGAAAGAAGTGAGGGGTAGGGAGTTAATAACAAAATTTTTTAAAAAGTAGAGAGTATAGTGTTCATAAAATATGACTGGGACTGAATTTAAAATTGAAAATAGAGATTGGTATTAAAACCCAATTGTCTGTTAAATTTATGCAATAATATATTTATAAACATTTTTATTTATTTATAATTTTAATTTAACAAATAATAATTAATTTTTTATTATTTTTTCACCAATATTAGTACATGTTTTATAATCTTTTTACCTACTTTTAATTTATTTTAACTGTTATATAGATATAATATTATTTTTAATTTTCGTATATTTCAAAGGGATAGAGTATTTATTTATGGGCACTTTGATTTAAATCACTGTCAGATAAAATAAATTTAAGTTCAGTTTCTACCTGTTATTTCAAGATACTGCACTCCCTATTTTTGTAAAATGTTTACATATAACTCCCTACTACCAATTTTTCCCCTGGAATGATGAATTTATATAACAAATATATTATATACTCCCGTTGAATTTATGTAAACCTACATTCTTTACTTACGTGCTCTCAAATTTCTGTGCTATACATGTTTAATTCCAAAGTGATGAACCTTAAATTATTATTATATACTATAGTCGGTTATTAAAATAACTCCAAAAAAAAAGAACCAAAAAAATACACACGATCTTAAGCACTCATTTTCTTCAGAAACCATTCTCCTCTCATTTGTAGGCCGTCGCCTTCGATCGTCATCCTTGAAATCATCATTGCCAATGCATTGAAAGTTTTTTTTTATCAAAAAGACCAACCGAAAGGATAAAACAAAAGTGCAGTATGCTCGGAATGTCGAAGAGGGTCTCCTCTCCCAAACAAAGTTTAAAAATTAAGCTAAAGCTTTTGTATTTTGTAACATCAATATTTTAGTTGTGTGCCTGTCAGGTTTGTATAAGCCTAGGTGCTAGTTGAGCTTATTTCGGCATCGTAACCTACCATCGTTTCAAATATAGGTTATTTTTGTGTGTTTTAAATTATAAGTAATTTTATTGTATATAAAAATATCTTAGTTTTTATCTTGTTAGGTTCAATTTTATAGTAAAATGGTTACGATATGAGGCGAGTGGAGTTCGATTTTTTTTCAAATACCGTTGGTGACAATTTGTCATGTGGAGTGACTTTCTTAAGTATTGAAAGTGTTTGTTGATATCTCTATAACATTGTAGGTTGTTTATGCATTTATTTTGTCGATTTATGAAAATTATGTTTGTTTTAACTAGTGTGCGTTAGTGCCTCCAAATGCTTTTGGTTACAACAAATGGTATATAATGTGTGCTCTGGTTTTAATTGACGTTCTTCTACAAGAAACTTATATACCTATATAGTTATGTCATAAACTTAAATTGGTGTACATATATTCTTGCAGACTTATGTACGCTTTATGCAACACAAAAATTTACCCGCTTAGCAGATGAGCTACTAAATTTGACGATGTCAAAACGTATTGAACAAAATTTGTCGTGAAAATTTTATCAGAAGACTCTGAAGAGACTGTCTAGAATCATTTATCATTTTTTTTTATTTAATTATTATGCATGAATTGAGAAAAAATGATGTTTGAAGCATATGATTGTCAAAATTGGGGTAGTTAGTCATTAATGTTATATTTTGTCAAAAACTTTAAGGATCATCATAATTTCTAATTTAACGTACGACATATGTGGTTTTCCATAAGTATAAACCTTGGTAATAGAAATACGCATACAAAGAATTAATAAATATATTTCGGTGCGCAAAATTTTATGGTTGGGTGTGGAGAAACCCCTAAATTTGAACAACATACCTCAAACAAAGATATATGTTCCTCAGTTAATTAACTTACATACTTCTGACATGATTATATCTACTCATATTAAAGAATAAACTTTGTAAGTAACTGCATATATATATTCGACATGTAGTGAAAAAATATATATCACCATACTTTCATGAGAACACCGATGGACACATTCAATGTATACCTTAATGACAAATGCTTACTTATGGTATGGATAGTCCCCATATGTCTTGTGTATAATATTTACTTCTCATACCTTCTAACATATTTGTTCGTTGAAGATGTTTTTCCTAGTCTACGAAATGATAATACGGACAAGACCAATAAGAAGTGTGGGGACTGAAACATATATCATAAGTTATCTACTAACTCATCGATATATCTTACCATAATCCGCAACATCATATATTAGGTCTATTCTATCTTATGTGATATTTTTATCCACCATTGAATATATGAATAAAGGATCCCAATGATCGTTTTTAGTATTGGTTGATATGCACCAATATTCGATGTTATTGCAATAATATATTCAAACTATAGCCGTTTAAGCTAGCTACAATCATGGTTGGGTGTCGAGAGGCCTCTAAGTAGAAGCCACACACTCCCAATAATGATATTTGTATCTCTATTTCACTAAGTTACATGCTTCTAAATTGATTTAATGTACTCATATTGAGTAATATGCTTTATAAGCAATATTATACATATTCAACGTATATTGGAAAGATGTGGACTCACCAAATATTTTGAAAACACTAATGGATATATTTAATATACACATCAATAGTTGTATACACCCAGTAATATATAAGGGAATATCATCAAATTTCTCAATCATTCTATAGTGGTATTGTACACAAATCTATGGTCAATATACAATCTTCCAAAAAAAAAATCAGAAATACCTACACTCAAATCTTCTTATAAACTTCGTCGATTGTGTTCTAGATGACCACAACAATCGTATTTTTAGTTTGTTTCACCTATTGTGATTCAAACCATATTTAAACCTGGTTGGACAGATAATGTGGAGGAAATTATCTTTGTCTGCAGGTTGTTACGCGTCACATCCATATCATGGGTCGGCACCGAGTTAATTGATTTATTATAGACATCATGTAGCTGGATGGAATCAAGCATTCCAACAAGGACAATCACTTTGTTGAGCGCACCTAACTATTCAGCAAAATCATTTTAATTTTCATTATTTTTGGCAATCACTGCAACATAGCTACAAAATTTTAACATTATTCAATATATAAGCGCATAAAATATATATCAAAGTTCATAGATAATAGTAGTAGTAGTCACGCTAACAAAACCAGAGTATTTTCAAATTAATGCATCACACAATATCAAACAACATGGGTATAAAATCAATAAATATAGGTATAGCACATCTGAAAAATATATTCATGAAAATACCCACGTATACTAATAGGAAATCGCAATAGTGCCTCATCCCCCTTCCCTCCACACACAGACACAAAATTTATTTCCTATATATATTGTCTTAATGAAAAATCATAATAAAACTCAGTTAAAAGCTATTGCAATTATAATCTTAAATAGAACAACAATTACCAAAGCAATAATAAAAAACTCTCGGAATTGGTCGCAAGCCCTATCAACACCGGAATAATCAACCATAAAATTATCGCACCAAAGAAAATTCAGAATCAAAACATCGCTTCACCTAATTTTTCCCTTTTTGAAAGCATTCCAACAAAGACAATCACCTTGTTGAGCGCACCTAACTATCCAGCAAACTCATTTTAATTTTCATTATTTTTGGAAAACACCGCAACATAGCTACAAAATTTTAACATTATTCAATATATAAACGCATAAAATATATATCAAACTTCATAGATAGTAGTAATAGTATAAGCCAACAAAATCATGGTATTTTCAAATAAATGCATCACACAATATCAAACAACATGGGTATAAAATTAATAAATATAGGTATAACACATCTGAAAAATATATTCGTGAAAATACTTGCGTATACTAATAGGAAATCGCAACAATGCCTCATCCCCCTCCCTTCACACACACACACAAAAAAAAAAAATTTATTTCCTATATATAATGTCCTAATGAAAAATCATAATAAAATTCAGTTAAAAACTACTGCAATTATAACCTTAAATAGAATAACAATTACCAAAGCAATAATGAAAAACTCTCGGAATCGGTCGCAAGTCCTATCAACACCGGAATAATCAACTATAAAATTATCGCACCAAAAAAAATTCATAATCGAAACATCGTCTTACCTAATTTTTCCCTATTCGAAATAAATTTAAATATTGAAATTTAAATTCGAAACTCCTCATAAATTCGTCATCAATTACAAATTTTTTCGTACAAATAAAATAGAACGCTGGACAGAACCGGTCCATTGTGCAAAAAAATCCTAACGAAGAGAGAGAAATAAAAAAAATGATAAAATAGGTTTTGGCAAGAAAAACAAGGGCAATATGAGAAAAGAAAAAAAAAAAAGATAAAAATGAGAAATTAATGCTAAGATTTTTGTATATGGGGGAGTTCAGTGTTATCAAAACCTGAACGAGGACTGAAAGCAAGAATAAAAACAAGGAGAGGGATTTATTTCAAATTGTCTCATTATTTATTTATATACGAAAAAATGATATACTGTATATATATAAATATTAAAAGTAGATTGCGATGAAAGTTGGGGCGGTGGAAGCTTTTGAGGAATATTCCATTGGGTTTCACCGTCGAAGAAGAAAGCAATCAGCAGAGTCAAATTGAAAGCAGGGGGCCAACGGCGGTTGCGATGGGCGGGAGCGGTGTTGCCTTGGCAGAGGAGCAACAGCAGCAGCAGTCTTCCGTCAGCAACTCTACAGACGTAGGAGCGCCTGATCGCCCTATCCGCGTTTACGCCGACGGGATCTACGATCTCTTCCATTTCGGACACGCTCGCTCACTCGAACAAGCTAAGAAGCTGTAGGATTTTGTTTTTACGTTCATTCTTTCACGACCTGCTTTTGATGTTTTCAACTGCTAATTCTGCTGCCTCAATTTGATCTCGAGAGATCCCGTGTGAATATATTCCGTTTTCCTAGTATTTTGATTGGTGTATACAGTTATTTATTCAAAAATTTGTGTGTGGTCTCGTCTGAATCGTCTGTATTTTTGTTTCTTCTGTTGGTTAATTGTATGCACTAAGTGGAATTTGAAAGATCTTGTTTCAATTGGCCGCAGCACTTCCTTTTTTGCAATTACGCGTTAAAATGTCTAATGAAATGATTTTGGATGAATTTGTTGTTTTAGCTTGTGGTATTTTCAATCCTATGTTGAGTAGTTAGACTTATATTTGTTTGATTGATTGGTTTATTTTTGTTTTTATTTTTATTTTTATTTCAGTGATTTAGTTGATTGGATGTTCTTGTTTTGTTAATTTAGGTTCCCAAATACTTATTTGCTGGTAGGCTGCTGTAGTGATGAGGTTACTCACAAGTTCAAGGGAAAGACTGTTATGACTGAATCAGAGCGATATGAATCCCTTCGCCATTGCAAGTTGGTGCCTTTCCCATGGTTTCTTTGGTGTCTTAATTTTATGGAGCTTTATATGGTTTATTTGAAGCCCTTGCGATGTTTTATTGATATTCTAACGCATTCTAGCTATTGTTAGGTTGTTAGATTGTTGAGCGCATGAAGCGATAAATACACTTCCACGTGTTCAAGATTGGAGATCAATTAGATCATAATGTGTGTGTGTGTGTGTGCGCAATGCGCCCACACGTGTGTGGAGAGAGTAGACAGAGTTGGTAGGCTCAGTGATGTTTACATTATTATAGATGACAAAATGCTTATGCAACATCAAATTGACTGCAATTAGTAAGCTGTCAGTACACCCCCTTCCCGATTCATTGGACTTTCCATTTTCAGGTGGGTTGACGAGGTCATTCCTGATGCCCCATGGGTAGTAGACCAAGAGTTTCTGGACAAGCACAAAATCGATTATGTAGCTCATGATGCTCTTCCGTAAGATTTCTTATTTAAAGACATTCCACAGCATGTTATATTCGGTGTCTGAAAGTGTTGAATAAATAGAAGTGATCAATGTTAGATATATATAATCTTAAAGTTACCTTGTGACTAATTCCTAGCAGTTCATGAGTATAAGCTTTATTATTTTTCACAATGTCTCTCTTTCTCTATTTCGAGCTTGTAAATTTTATGACAACAGCTCCCGCAGGCAAACTGGATGAGTGTTGTTAATTGCCTGAGAGTCCAGCTTGTGTTGTTTCCCACTCCAGAAGTTTTTAAAGTTTTATACAGTGATGTTTATGTTGTTACATAAAACTAATAAATTCAAAGCTAATATACTTCTTATTTCAAGTTCTACAAAGGCATTCATGTGATAATGATTATATAGAGGGAATAAAAAATAAATTAATCAGGGGATGGATTTGAAACACCACATCTTAGATTTCCTAATCTTTCGAGTATTAAATGCTAAGATTTGATTTTCACAGACGTATATCATAGCTTAAAGTAAAGGTTTGCATCATGCTATGTATAAGGAGTCAAGTTGCTTAAGCATAAAATAACGGATCAAACGAAATAAGTAACATAGATGCTAGCATGTTTGAGTCATTTCATGGTGCACAAGTCATTGCCCTTAGTTTGATTTTTGTGGGCTGAGCTGTATATTTTCTTTATCCCGCTTGTTTGATATAACTTTCATATCACAGCTATGCTGATGCAAGTGGAACTGCAAATGATGTTTATGAATTTGTAAGTGTGGAATTCTAGACTTCCTTCTATAGTACCCTGCATTTTGTTTTTATGTATGCTGGTGATCTTTTCTGCTGTACTTTCTTTCTACCTGATAACCGTGTGTTACCTACTTCTCATGTAGGTCAAAGCTGCTGGTAGATTTAAAGAAACTAAAAGAACTGAAGGAATTTCGACTTCTGACATTATTATGAGGATAGTAAAGGATTATAATCAATATGTGATGCGCAATTTAGATCGTGGATATTCAAGGAAGGAGCTTAATCTGAGCTATGTAAAGGCAGGATTTCTAAACACTCATCTTGTTCTGTCATGACTTGTTTCGGGTGTACAGTGTACATTGCTTTGTTCATTTGCCAGGATATGATCACTTTGCACAGTTAGTGAGGAAGGGTGCTTATGATTTTTATTGTCCATGTGGCAGGAAAAACGAATGAGGGTGAATATGCGATTGAAGAAACTACAGGAGAAAGTCAAAGAACATCAAGAAAAAGTCGGCGAGAAGGTAAAATTTCTTGTGATTGACCTGTTGGCTCTTTTCTTTTTTTTTTTTTTCCTTCCGGGTCCTGTTTCAGTGAACTAGCTTGGTTGAATCAAAAAATTAGATCATAGGAACTTGCATTTTTCCATCATGAAGTATCTATGTTGAAAAGAACTATATAAGAAGAATGAAGTTTTCTAAAGTATTTTGATCCAATGTTTTATTCCATTGACAATATGATTGTGGTACCGAGTTCCTTTGACAATAAAATTGCCACAATAGTTGAAAGCAGATGTTCTTTGGCTTGTTTAAGTACTTATAATGACCAAATTGTGGTCATTGGGTTATGCTTCAACTAATAAAGGGAAAGATGCATGCTGGTTATTGTTTTTCTTGTTTCCGACTGCTAATGTGTTTTTGATTTATCATGTTAGCATATGTATGACATTGCCATTGTCCATTTTCATGTCGCAAACTTACTCAGACTGCATTGTGTCTTCAATCTTTTGTCTTTTAGATACAAACTGTAGCCATGACAGCACGTGTTCGTCGTAATATGTGGGTTGAAAATGCTGATCGGCTGGTTGCCGGATTCCTTGAAATGTTTGAGGAAGGATGTCATAAAATGGTGAGTAGCATAGTTGAAGTCACACCCTTTCTCATACTCAAGGTTTCACAATAAAATTTATGTGCTACATTGCACATATACATTTAACGTCTTTCTTTCCGGGTTTGTATTCCTCAGGGAACTGCCATTAGAGACCGCATTCAAGAGAGTTTAAGAGGACAACAGGTGATGGGCTTGCTTGAAAATGGCGAGGATAGTGACGAAGATGCATACTATTACGACACAGATGAAGAATACTACGATGATGAATCTAATGAGAGTGACGGCAAGTGATCTGCTGTCTCAAAGGTTGTAGTCAACCAGGTTTTATACTTGGAGTTAAGATATTGCTAAATAGCTGGAGGTAAATTGTTCTGCCTGTGTGTGTCGGGGTGGGATGTTTCTACCGATCTTGCGAGGTTTATGGCTTGCATTTGCTATATGTTTGCACTGCTGGTTTTTATTTTTATTGTTGTCTAGTGTTTATTACTATGAATGAATTAGAGCTGCCAAAGCCAAACTATGAATGGAAGGAATTATGGGCTTTGTTTGGATGTTTTTTCTATATCTATTGGGCATAGAATTCTGCATTTGGGAGAAAACGGAATAGAGTATATAGGATGGAAATATATATATATATATATATAGGTTAGGTGCTGATTGGGAATTAATCAACATTTTTACGGCACATGATACGTAGATTGTCGTCACATAATTTGAATTAATACATGTAATATGTGATTAGTAGATTGTTATAATGTATTGTCAGTTTATATTGTTAGTTCATTTTTTTTTTTTTTGTGTGTTGTATAAATATACATTTTGTGTTGAGATTAATTATTTTGTGCCTTGTGTAAATTATTGTGGTTAATATGCTGTGTTTGCATTATATTAATATTTTTTTTTAGATCAATCATAGTATGTGTTATGTCAATTTATATGTTTTTATAATTTGTTTATATTTTACGTGTTACCTGTTTATATTTTATATGTTGTCAGTACGACATTGATTAATTAAGTATTGTAATTCTGCATATGAATATACATACAATGTAGAATGATTGATGAAGCAAACGTGAAATACATGGTTGTATTCGTGAGTATGCGACAGGCTAGTCTTCAGTATTTAAAATTGAATACAGCGTGGTTATCGAAATTATAGAGCTTTGTTATTTTTTAGTGGCAGAGTTTTGGAAATTTGAGAATAATAAATAAAAGTTAGTAGTTAATGTGATTTTTGTGAGAGATGATGTGGATGTCTTTAAATATAAACAGTGGCAAAATTCAAAATGGTGTTGTAGTTTAAAATCGGTAAATTCAGTTTTATGATACCTTTCTATGAAGCAGAAACATAGTCTTGCTGATGTTCTTCCAATTTTGATTCTTTATTGGTGAAGGGGAATGAAAAATTAAATGGAAGGAAATCTATGGGTATGTTGGGTTATGATTTTTAATCTATTTCAACATTATAATATAAAAATTTATTTTTAGTTTTAATTATATAACATTATTGTGTGTTTTTAGTTTTATTGCGTAAAACTCCCGTTAATGTAAATTTGCACGAAACATCTTTTTTGTCTAAAATTGATTTTGATTTTAAACAAAGACCTAAATTGTGCAAATTTTATACAAATAAAAAATTTAAAATATTTTAAATATTTTTTTGAATAAATAAAGGATATTTTTTATATTTATATTTATATTTATATATATATATTTATTTTTATGATTTTTTAAATAAATAATTGATAAATCATAATAAATAAATAATTGACAATAAATAATTTACTTTGGAATATTATGTACTTTGAAGTTTTATTTATTTATATACTTTGGTTGATAATATTTCATAATATATTTTTGCACGAAACATTCTCATTGTCCAGGTTTATATATTATGATATGTATAACAAGTTAATTACATTTTATATAGGTAGTGCGGAGATATCCGATGCACAACAAGAAATGATGGACGTCCATTTTTAACAAAGCCGGTTATGCCCCTATATAGAAGGATTTTAAGTAACATATAATGTATATTGCAGAGACCATGTCACTTGCCCGAAACTTCATTGCACAATTACAGCGCTAGTGTCGGATGAATTATCCACTTTAAAAGACTTGTTAGAGGATAATAAATAGCAATATAGCTCAGTCGTTGAATAGTTGTGTGTGCTCAGCAAGGTCATTACATTTTGTTGGGATGTTTCATTCTATCCGGCAACATGTGATGTCTATGATGAATCAATTAACCCGGTGTGGACCCATGATATGGATGTGGCGTAACAACCTGCAGACAAAGATAATTTATCACATATCATTTTTCCAACCTGGCCAAAGCAAAATGCGATTTGAATCACAACAGATAAAACAGATTAAAAAATATGATTGTTTTGGTCATTATGACACAACCAAAAAAATTGCAAGTCGTTATGACACAAATGAAAAAATTGCAAGGAGATTTTATTGTAGGTATTTCTTGCATGTTTCTTATGGCTGGAATTTTCTTTTGTTTATGAAAGATTGTACATTGAATGTAATTTATGTATGGAACCACTATTGAATGATTTGAAAATTCGATGATATTCCTCTGCATTTTACTGGAAGTACACAACTATTTTTCCAGAGTACATATTAGTCCAAAATAATTCTTCCAAAGTATAAAACAGAATTCATAACGAAAGTACATTACATGTTATTGTAATTATATTAAATATGACCAGGAGTAATAGTTATTAACAACAACAATATATTACACGGGATTTTGCTTATTAAATTCTACATAATAATTTAGGTCTTTTATGTCCCCTAAGTACTCATTACGGTATAACATGACCCAGAGTGTACCCCTATCATTTATTTGAAGTTATATCATATATATTAAATTTATTTATGAAGGTATTTAATATTGTTGAAAGAGTTGCTGCAATGAAAATATGAGTATATTGTGACGTTCAAAGAGTATATTCATTAATATCAGGTGTATACATATCCGAGTAAGGGGGTGCATCTTTGTGTATGGAAGTATTTATAATTGTGTACAAGTACTATTAATGTGAACACGGGTATTCAAGTAATATGAGCAAAATTTGTCAATGATTTTTGTTGGATCAAAGAACTACGAGTTGATAACATTATACCCACTTTGTAGACAGGGGATACTCCCGAGATGACATCTGAAAGAACCTATCAACACATTCAATAGCGGGTGAGAACGTCAATTACAACAGATATAAAATAACATATATTTAGGTGACCAAAAGTAATATATATGTTAAAGTCAGTGCATAATTGAAGATCTAACATGTTCTTTGTATGGTGATTGTTTGTCCAAAAATTTCTGAAAGTGAGATGTAACATCCAACAATAGTAAATATGGGGTATAAGGGATATCAAGTATTTAGTTGTGAGACATATTGAACTTTTCCACACTATAGGGAATATATTAGTCATTGATGCGTAAATGTTACCGGTCCACTGGTGCTTTCAGAATAATTTAGTGAGTAAACGTCTTCTTAATATACATCAATTACGTTTAAAGTTACTTAGATATCATATTCCTTATACGAATGGATTCAATTAGTTAAGAGGTATATAAATTAGTGAAATAAAAGTACAAACATCATCATTGAGGGTATGTGCTCTCGGCCTAGGGGTTTTTCGATACCCAATTAGGGAATATTGTCAACCAAAGTATATTATTTACTTATATGGGTACTTGGTCTCTTCTAGTACATCTGTGCACATGACATGAGTGTCTAAATCACATACAAGGGTATATAAACTAGTGAAATAAAAATATAAATATTATCATTGGGAGTATGTGGTCTCGGCCTAGGGCTTGTTGACACTCAATCATGATATCTTGCCAACCTATCATGTATACAAACATATACATGAGCAGAATGCAATTACATATAGACAACTTCTTAAAATATCATATGTTAGTTTAAAATAGTCGGTGATTAGTAAAGTCTACTCCAAAATATAATATAAACGATAAGTACCCCTATTTGGCCACAAATCTTAGCTATTCATCAATCCAATTGTAACAAATTTCACCTAAATCATTCACATTGAACTAGACAGACCCTCTGAGGTGCCCTGTTAAAATTTCTTGCAGCAACTTTTGCCCTATAAGCCTTGACATCATCAAATTCGGTTACCCAGCTGTCTAGTGGGTAACAGTCTGTATCTTCTAAAGCGTAGCTCTCAGTTTATATCCATACACGTCTGCTACGAAGCCATCTGAAGCAACGGGGCACTTTAGGTAGTCCTCTTGCTTTTTTCGAGTGCCGGAGTACACTCGTTCATCCAGGCATGCAATGAAGAAAACCAATTATTTCAATAAGTATAGACTATCTCAAGTTTTTCTCACCTAAATATATAAATTAAATGAATACTAAAAAGCCCATGGTGCATCCAATCAAGTAAATTTTCCCTAATTTGAAGTCCCGCATAAATTTCAGTAGGTACCGATGACACGTAGTTTCCCAAGCGTAGTCACCCAACGACGTCAAGTCATCAAAATATACTACTAAAAATATTTGAACCCGATAGTTTAGGGTTGTAAACAAAATGTTGACAAAAACAAATGAAGTATACAGTTTGAAAAATTCAACAATGGCTATAACGTCGTTTCAGAATGTTAAAGTAAGATTATCCGTCACCGAGGCTTGTACAAATCCAACAAAGGCACAAATAAAATAGATCCAAGTACACTGTGAACTCAAACAATCGATTCTACCATAAACTTTAACTTACTTTTTTGAACTCCGCCTTGGGAATGAAGTCTTTTTCGACATCTTTACTGGGAGTTGATCTCTCGGCGGTGAGGGAAGACTTCCGACGGCGGCGGAGGTTTCTGTAGGAAGGCTCGGCAGCAATTAGTTCGCTAGAGGACTTCGACGGTGAGGGCAGCGTGGAAGGGGAAGAGTTTGGAAGAATAACTCATCCACAAAGTCGGATGGTGAGTTTCATTAGGGTTTTATTTTATTTTTAGGTTTAAATTACTGTAACTGATTCTAGTACATAAATAAAGATTCGAGGCACATTACTCTGAAATTTTCTTTGTACAACGTGATAATTTTGGAGTACATAACTAGATAATGTAGGTTTATATAAAAATAATGAGAGTACATATAATATTCGTTACATTATATGGTGATTCATGGGTAAAATGGGTACTAAGGAGTCAAGTGTAAAGTGAAATGAAAAGTAAGGAGTGCAATGCTTTTTCAAAATGGAGAGAGACTGAACTTAAATATTTTTTAGTTGACAGGTGTTTTACGGTTACAAGTCCAACCCCACGCCACCAGACCATCCCTTACGGGACAAATATTATAAATATATAATTTTACCTACACTTATATAGTGATAAAACATCATATTGACATTTAATGATTAAGAGATACAAATATATTATATTATATATAATATATGTCTCACTACAATTTATCCAATATTACACAAAATAATTTGTATCCTACCTAATCAGCAACGAGAATGAGCGATGAGCTTATGTAATGGTTCTTTCTTAAGCCATCGACAATTT